AGCTAATCTGACAGGTTTACATGATCACAAGACATTCGCTACTACTGAAGTGACCCTGAAGACCTGAACCCCTATGTTCCTAAGTGGGAACTGTAGCTTGTTTATCTCATGACATGCATAAAGGCTTCTTGAAGTTGAGATCCCCATACGTTCAACCCCAGACCCGCAGCCCTGAACTCTAGAACCTTAGTTGGACGCCTAGACCTTGTAGAACTAAGCCTTAAGCCCATAAGCCCTGAATCCTAAATCGTAAGCCCTCAGAACCCCTGGTAAGAGGAGCTCGCCTTAGAAAGTCCTGTTGTTCTGCGCCGCTTCAGCGGCATACTGAAGGAGGTGTGCAGTATGGGGTCTTGGGTTTAGGGCCGTGTTGGGTCTAGTATGTCTTTAAGTACGTCATTTTACGTGTTTTCGGTGTTGCTTCTCTCGCTGTGGAGTTAGCAGGTCAAGTTTTCGGAGTATTCAGGATGCGCAAGCATGCGAAGCAGGCTACCTGACCCTCGGGATACGCAATGGGTGCACAGCCTGTCTCAGAACCTTGTGGGGTTGCTTGAGCTGAGTATTTTTTTTGTGCGGTTATACAAGGCCCTCAGGCAGCCCCTCAACCCCGAACCTCAAATTCTACACCTTGATTTGAGCTATAGTCCAAACTCCTTGTATCCCCCTATAATGCTCCCACCATAATCCCCTACAAATTCCCACCTCAAGGAGTTTAGACCCTAAACCCTAATCCCTAAACCCTCAACCCTCGAACATATGCTCAGCTTTCAGCTACTTTAGGGCTTAGAGAAAGGCTAAGGCTGTAATGGAAGTTTCTCAACAGTGCGGTGTAGGGTTTAGGATTTAGGGTTAAGGGCTTGGGGTTTGGGGGCACCCATTTTGGGGGTGACTATAATAAGGACTGTATGTTGTGTCTATATTGGTGTCCTGCTATTTTTGGAAACTGCCATGCAGGGCCTGGACCTCAGGTTCTAAGACCCCTTTCTAACGCAACGGGCTCCCTCAAAGCTGATTCTTTGGTGTTTTTGATGTTTAAGAGATGTACTTTGAGTCATGCTCCCTTGCGGTGGCTGTCCGTAAAGAGGCCTGATGAAGGGGCGATTAGTACTCCTAGCGCTGCTTGTGGGAACTGTTACTGTGAACGGGATTTGCCTAAGATTTACCTTAGCTTTCTGAAGCTCAAACCCTAAACCCTAAACCCGAACCCCCAAACCCCAACCCTGGATCCTAAACCCTAAACCCCAACCCTAAATCCTAAACCCTAAACCCGAACCCCTAAACCCTAAACCCCAGCCCTAGATCCTAAACCCCATTGATCACTTCAGTGGGACCGATTTCACGGCAACCCAAAACAACTTCAAAGCCCCAAGTTTGTCCAAGTATCTATATATGGACTAAAGTTAGGTTGGGGGGACCTACAGGGGGATATACTTAGGGGCTTTAGCGGTGGACCTATTAAGGAATATGCTAGGACTTTAGTCCGGGGGTCATATGAATTATTCGCCAAGTGCTCAAACTACCCATGTAGGAACACTTCTCGCGCCCTAAGATTTTACCACCAGGATTGCTGGGCCCCAAGGTCCAAACACTTAACGCTTTCCCATGGACTGTGAACCCCTACCACAACCCTGAACACCTCCAAGTACTATACCCCTGAACTGGGCAACCCATAGCGCTCAGAACCACTAAGCCCCAATCTCTATTCCCTAAAGCTCCAAATCTCTAGCCCTAGACCCCTAAATCGTAAACTCTGTACCCCGTACCCCTGAACCCTAACCCTATCCCTAAACCGTAAACCCCGAGGCCCTAAACCCTATAACCCTAAACCCTACACCGTAAAACCCTGAAACCCAACAAAAACTATAGACCCTATAATTACCTCGAAACCTCGAAACCCCGAAATCCCGAAGCACTCAGCATGCAGGCGTTTGTCGAGCGGTGCTTGCACGAAGCCACGACCGCTGCCGGAGTTCTCAGAAGATGCCGGGGGCCGCAGGTTTTAGAGATTTGTAGGGTTTAGGGCTTAGGGTTTAGGGTCGCTTTATTAAAGTTTAGGGCTTATAGGGTCCAGGGTCTAGGGTTTTTAGTGTTTCTTGTTGTTTTAGGGTTTGGGGTCTTTTATAGGTTTTTAGGGTCTACAGGGTGTAGGGGTATGCAGTTTAGGATCCAGGGATACGGGGGTTTAGGCTTTGTGTTCTTTTTTTTAATGGTGCATGGTTTAGAGGTCTAGAGTGTAATCGGTTTAGAGTTGAGGGTTTAGGGCTTAAGGTCTAGGGTACAGGATTTACTTGGAGGTTCATGGGTCGTTTTAACGACTTAGAACTTGGCTTTATGACCCTGCTTACGATTCGGATAACTCCTATGAGCCCACTACCCTGATGCCTCAACCTCTAAATTCTAATCCCTAGAAATCCCTAAGCCCTAGACCCTAAACTCCAAGTAGGGCTTAAGAGTATAGAAATTGCGGATGTCCGGATTGGGGCATGGGTGGATGTCCTAGGGTCTAGGGTTTAGGGTTTAGGGTTTAGGGATTCTGAAGAATCTTGCAAGCACAGCAGTGTCAAAACCTGAATCAAGGATCCTTTTTGACAATTCGCAACGGAAGACGTTCCAAGTAGATCAAAGGGACCGTGACGATCCTACAGTCATGCGATCTTAGATTCGGGACAGGTGTTTGAAGCCTCCAGCGGAGCGATGTTCAACTTTTCTAGCAATGTGGGGGCTTTGAATTGCATTCGAAATGACTGGGCTAGTATAAGAGGACGGTCTGCTATTGCTGAATGATTTCGCAAGTTGCCTCGATCTTGCCTAAAGGCTCTGACAGACATGACCTTTGCATGTGGGAGACTTGTGTTTGGAGGCTCCCCGAAGCAGGGATCATCACGTTCATCATGCACGCGGCCGCGACATTGGACCCTTCAGAGAAGACTCGATATAACACCCAAGCGAGCATGCGTCTGAACAGCTTATATGAGACATAATCTAAACTCCTTAAAGGGGGATATATAGGGATCATATAAGGGACTACTATAAGCTATAGCCCTATAGCTTATATTGCGTTGCAGGATGTTTGTGAGCAGGAATTCTATGCTCTGGCTCCCAAATCTATAGCTTTTTATGAGGTATGTGTTCCTATAGGGTGTTCCGGAGACGGCAATTCATGATTCTAGAGGTCAACAGACCTTGATTTTAAGCAGCAGGCAGATCTTGAGCCCCAAAATTCAAGTCTTGTGCCGTACACCCTACCTGAATCCTGGCTGCATTACCTTCTTTGTTTCAGGGTTTAGAGTTTAGGGATTTAGGGTTTAGGATGTACCCTATGAATGTGCCGGACAGAACGCAAAGGAGGGAGGACATCCAGGGTCCAGGTAAAAGAGGAATTTCATACCTCAAGCCGAAGCCCAATCCTAGAACTTGATATCCGCACCGTACGCCTCAAACCCGCAAAGCCTTACAACCTAAGCTCAAGGTAGGAAAAACCCTTAGTCACCCAGAGATTGTCTCTAGCTATCTTATGAATTTTGCCGTAGAGAACACTTGTGTTCCGTAATTCAGCTACACCTAAAGTAAATCACAAGGCGAAGACACTCCAGACAAGGACGGCGCCTGTTTCCCGGGATCCACACAGTTCAGGGCTAAGGGATTGGTGATTCCTGTAGGAGCATGAATGAGTGCCAATATCTGTCCTTATAGCCATTGTGGCATGCACGAGTCGTATCACATACCGAAAAATGAACCCTATTCAATCCATTTTCGGTTTTGGTGGCCCATACACTGCGGTTTAAAGGTCAAGCTACATCGACCCTAAACCGTAAAGCCTAAACCCCAAATGCTCAACCCTAACCCCAAGGCAATATGCAGACACCCCCCCTCAGGAATTTTACAGGCGTGAAATGTTAGTGGCTCTTAGTTGTCTAGCCACTATAAGCCCTAGAGCTCTTACAGCCTGCAAGGGACTGTCGGGTTTAGGCTTAAAGCCACAGAGGGAGTTTTGGGCCTAAACCCTAAACCTTGGGTACTGGCCCCACCCAGTAACAGTCTATATTAGGGGCCCTATTAAGGGCTATATATAACCATACTATAATTATTCTCCAACTGTTACTGAGGGGGGGGCAGTACCCAACCTAATCCGCTGGTCTGCTGGCTTCCTCTACGTGATGGCGGCACCTGCCTGCGGCTTAGGGTTTAGGGGTTTAGGGTTTAGGGTTTAGGGGCTTCTTTGCACTTCCTTCGATGGTACTCAACGCTGTGTGTTCTCGCAAGTTTGCACTTGGTGCCATCTCTGATGTTGCTTGCTTCATCCTGGCGCTGGCCATCTTCGGCTGGTGTTCCATTATCTCTTTGATTTTCTACTTGCTGGCTCTTAGTGGTCATGAGTATGGAGGAGTAGACTACCGCGAGTAGCCAAAGTCCGGATCTTTATGGCTAACATTGTTCCAGTTTTAACCTATGGCATCGCCACTCTAACCATGGAAAATAAACATTTCAGTAAGCTTGATTCCTGGTTTATCAGACGAGCAATAGGGGTCAAGCACTCGTATTATATACTCACATTCACAAATAAATCAATTTGGCTATGGGCATATAATATAGACCTCTCCTACCATCCCAAATAGTTCTTGCAGCGCAATTCCGGCTACTCCTTTTATCTCTGAACGCCGACCCTCAAGACCCATTTCATCATGTAGCCTTTGGTCCAGCTGATAAAGATAGAGTCTCCTTATACATACACCACAAAACCGGTCCCCCCCCCACCACACTGGCTGTCCCAAGTTCACAAGCATGCAAAGGAGTTCTATCTTCCTGAGATACAAGGTAAGGACTATAGGACTGACATCATAGGTCTCCAGCCACTCCTCAACATTCCCTGCGAGATGGCTGGCAGCGCCTACGCGCCAACCGACCTTTTTCTCTCTGTAGAGTTCCAGCATAAGGAGCGCATGGCGACCGTAAAAACCTTGGGATTCAGAATTTAGGGGTTAAATAATCCGCTCGACTGACAGGAGGAGAATCGCCTTCATGCGGCTGCGCAACTTTGGCAGCTTCTTGATGCGCTGCAGGCCAGCAACATCAATGAGGTTTAGGGTTTATAGCCCCCTTAAGAAGATAGCATATGGGGTATATGGGGAGGGACTCTGTGGATCATGCAAGGGCTTAGGGCCTGAGAGGGACACTGCCAGAGATGTATCGGAGCGATTCCTAGGAACCACAACGATTCAGGGGGCTTCCAAGAGAAGTTCTTAGGGCTTCATGTGGGGTATGTGGCAATAATACAATGATCTTAGGTCTGGGACGCTAATGAGACGTACTCAGACTGCCGTATGGGATAAGAACTGGGTCCACCCAAACTGCCTCCCTTATCTTGGCCATCGCACTATTTGCAAACCTTACAGCCGAAACTATGTACCTTTAGACTTTAGATCCCAAAGTCAGTAACGTTAGTAGACTTTAGAGCGCCAAGTAGGTAGCACTAATCGACTTTAGAGACTTTGGAGCAGGTATTCTTCGTGGACTCTAGAGCCTGATTTGTAGACTTGGCATTTGGGAGGAACAGGGGGCGCGGATGAACGCCTTTCTGTCAACTTCTTCTGCGGCCTGTGACGCTCCCAAACCTAAACCCTAAAGTTATTGGGCTCCTCTATAAGGTAGCCTATCAATCCTGGAGTCTTAGAACAGAAGCTCTAAACCAAAACACACAATGGCATGCTTCTCCAGGCTTGCTTAGGGCCCATATTAGGGCCCCACACTCCTAACCGAAACCCTAAACCCTAAAGCTATTGGGCTCCTTGTTCAGGAGCTTAAGGTAGCCTATCAACCCCCTTGACTCTGAAATAGACTGGATTGCTGTTAAGGAACTTAAATTAAGTTACCATAATGGGTATATATAGAGTAAATAATAGGGTTTCCCGAATATAGTAACATAATTGAAGTTCCTTAACAGCAACCCAGTAGACTCTCTGGCAAGGGGGAGGGCAGCGCTGGTATGGCTGCTGCTGTTGAGCTGGGCACGGAATTCGAGATTGAGCTCGAGGAGGCAGATGAAAGGTTTAAGGGTTTAGGGTTTTTTGGGGGTTTCCCAAAATCGGGGGGTACCTTTTTTGGGGCTTCCTATAGTAAGGATTGTAGTATTTGGGGTCCATATTGGGGTCCCCCTATTTAGGGAAACTACCAAATGGAGATTATAGGGTAGTTCTTTAGGGACTATATAGGGGTTAGATGATACGCCGAAGAGTCGAAGTTTGGCGTGTGTTGGCTTTCAGGGTTTTACAGGCTAGGGTTGTTTGAGATGGTTTCCGTTGCTTCGGAGTCGGGATTGGAAGGTTTAGGGATCAGGGTTCAGTATTTATCAAGGGTTTCAGGCTTGTACCCCTGCGGCTGTACCCCTGGTTTTTTTTTTTTATCCTTTTAAGGGACCCTCGGGCACTACATTGGCTCATAGAAGGGCTATATTAAGGCCATATTAGTCAAACCTTTTAGGGGTACGACCTTAGAGGGACAACCTGGAACCCTTGAATTTAGGGTTTGATCGGATTAAGGCTTACCCGAGGTTTCTTGAAGCAGAGACCCCGCGTGTGTGTGAGCACCAAGAAAACATGGGGCATACAACCCGGATATAATCCGACATCAGCCTTGTACAACCCCTAGGTAGTGCAATCCTACACAAGTGCTATACAACCCCTATGTAATCCCACATAAGCTGTACAGCCCCTAAAAACTTGTGTACAACCCCTACATCATCCTACATAACCCCAAGAAAATAATGCCAATACAGCCCCAACGTAGCTCCAGCATAATCTTACATCATCCCAATATAACCCTAAAGCCTACACCCTAAACCCTCAACCCCTAAACCCTCAAACGTAAGCCTCTAGACCCTCAACCCTGAAACCTTGAACCACGTTTAAGGCTTAAAAGCCTCTATCTTGGGTGTACTTGGAAATCATCTTTACTTTTTGCTTATTATAATCCTAAGGAACAGCAAAATTAACAATTTTTACCAAGGGTCCAAGTTCCCCAATGCTGTAGTCCCAGGTGAAGCCGCTGATTGCCATGACTAAGCCAGACCTTTGCTTCATGGAGGAGGAGTGGGGAACCCCAGTGCTATGGGATCCCTTTACTAGGTATCCCAGTAGTAACCTTTTGCCCTTTTTATTTTGGGGTCTCTTTATTCAAACTAAACAGTAGGAAAAACAGGGTACCCTTATTAGTAATGGGTCACTGGGGAACCTAGTTTAAAAGGATGTATAAAAGTATAAGAGGATATCTAAGGTATAGGTTTTGGGGATGAGGGTTGAGGCTACGATGACAATGATGGAGCATCAAATTGGAAAAGTAATGGAACATGAACTGGAAACATGGTGTTTGGCTACGTAGGGGTTTGTGGGCTCATATTGTAGAGGTTGGAGGAGATTAACGATTCAGGGTATAGAGCCTGGGATTTAGGGCGTAGGACTTGGATTTATGGTTTAGAGTTTAGGGTTAAGAGTTTAAGGTATAGGACTTAAGCCCAAACCGTAAACCCTAAACCCTAAGCCCTCCTAAACCTATGGAGGAGATCTCCGGGATGGCAGGTTTCCATAAATGCGTATTAGGGTTTGTCTTTTAGCGCGTCGAATCATAGGGTTCATAGGGTTTAGAGGTTACGGTTTAGGGTTTAGGATTTAGGGTTGGGGCTGTAAAGGTTTCGGGTTTGGGGGGATCTTAAGCATGTAAAAAAACGTAATTCAGCACGTTTTATCAGGCTCAGAGACATGTAAAAGGCATGCCGGGCTTTTCATGGGGGAGATTGTAGTGTTTTCGGGGTTTGGGGTTTAGGATACAATGTTTTTGGGAATCCTCCCTAAACCCTAAGGCCTAAACCTCAAACCCTAAGTCCTATATACTCTTACGGTGCTCGCGTCCATGAGGTCGCTGGGTCCAAATTCTATGTTTTGGGTTTAGGGTTTTAGGGTTTTGGGGTTCGGATAATTAAAGCTACATACTACAAATCCCTATATGAGCTATAGTCTGAACTCTTTACAAGGGGGGTTATCTAGGGGAGTATCTACTAAGGGGGGTACTAGGAGTATAGACTATAGCTCATGTATTCCCATTTGCCATGTTCTTATCCATTTGATTCTCCATCATAGCAGTTGGGGTAATGATTGTAGGGAAGTGCGGTAGCCCCTAAACCCACCTAAACCCTAAACGGCCCTAAACCCTAAACCCTACACCGCATAAGGCGTCCTGAGGGATCTTGTGCCACCTTCGTTGTTGGAGATCCAAATACCCCAAACCCTGAAATTTCCCGGGTTCAGGGTGTAGATGTGAAGGGATTAGGTTTACGTTTTAGGGATTAGGGCATTCGGGCCTTGAGCCTTAGGATTTTGCTCTTGTTTGAACATTGGGCTGGCTGAGGCCTTGCTAGCTCAAGCAATGCTGGTCCTAACCCCTAAGCCCTAAGCCCAAATCCCCAAATTCTGATCCTTAATCCCTACTACTATCTTTCCTAAATTGTGAACCCTTGTTTCCACCCAACTTCCCCTAAATTTTGAACCCTAGATTCTGTGGTTCCTAAACCCTTAACCCCAAACGCTCCAAGGCCTGACGATGGATGGCATCGGCCACCCGACTTCCGCGAAGTGGATCAGCCCCTAGCAGGGAAGCCCAGCTTACACTTGGAGGTTCATGTGAGTAGTAGTATTTTTTGGGTACTATGGTACCCAATATAGAGTAAGATTATATCCTCCTTTTGGGTATAGTATCTTATATAAGGATTATCTTACCCTCGGCCTGAAAGAAAGAATCGCTGGTTTAGGGTTTAGGGGCTTAGGGTTCTGTTAGGGGTTCAGGGCTTTGGGTCTATACACATAACTGGGCTTGTAACCCCTACTTATATTCCCCCTCAATGGCCTCAGGATCAGCCCCTAGTAGGGAAGCCCGGCTTATAGGGCTTAGGGGTGTAGGGATTAGGCTTCAGGGTTCAGGAAGTTCTGGGCTTAAGGGTCTAGGGGTTTGGGGTCGCGGTTTAGGGTTTTAGGGCTTGGCCCAAAAAGGCGCGCACGGTTTCGGCTGAAGGGGTGTAGCTTTGCATGGTGGACTATTGGGCCATTCAAGGATCTCATCCATGCGAGCGGGCATGCTGCAGCGAGCCGCCACCGAATTCACCCCAAAGTGTAATGTATAGACCCTAAACCCTGAACCCCTAAACCCTAATACCCTAAACCCTAATACCCTAAACCCTAAACCAGCGATTCTTTATTTCAGGCCAAAGGGATTACCCGATCATCGCCAGATGGGATCCCCGCAAGCCCAAACCCTAAACCCCAGGGCTCCGTGTATCGAAATACCTCGGGTCCCTCGAAAGGATTGCCAAATATAACCCTACTATAACCCTAATATAACCCCAATATAACCCCAATATAACCCCAACATAACCCTACTATAACCATCAGGTTGAGGATGCTTCGGGTTTTTGACAGGGAGTCCTGGTTCAACAGTATTTAGGGTGTAGGGTTTAGGGTTCTTGACAAATCTGATGTTTTGTGGCATGATGCAAAGTAATCAGAATTCTCAAGCACAGCTTCAAGCCCTGCACCCCAAATCAGGATTGAAACCCTGACCGGCCGCATGTAAACCCTAAACCCCAGATCCTCGCCCGAATAAACATCAGATTGAAGCCTCAGCTCGTAGCCCTACTTGTCTTTGGCCTTGCGACCTGAGCCCTGCACTTCAAGTATGGACTAGTATGTCGGGGATGTTGGGGCTATATACCGGGGATTTCTCACTTCCTTGAGAAGAGTCAGGGTTTAGGTGATTTAGGGCTTGCAATCTTTGTTCTTTGATTAATGAAGGTCCCAAAGCCAAACCGTAAACCCTAAACCCTGTTCAGGCTGTTCATTTCAGAGCTCCTCTTTGGGTTTGAGAGCTTTGGTTGAAGGTTTAGGGTTCGATTCATTGACTATAAGGTTTCCGACTTTTAGAGAGGGATTAGGAACACAACGCAACCACCCTGAAAGCAAATCGTAGGACCTACTCGGAGGGTCCGGGAAACTTAGTCATTTAGTAAGTAGGTAAATAACCCACATAGTCCATATGGGTGGTTGTCAAAATTATGATCCCTTTGTGGGTACCCGTGATATTAGGTGCCGTATTACGATAGGGATCCAAAAAGGGACCATAAATTTGATGGCCACCCATATGGTAACCAAACTAAGTCCCCTGACCCTCCAAGTAGGTCATGTAATGGTAAAGGCCCGAACATCTTGATGACGTAAACGTATGAAGGCTCCCACAGGGATCAACAGCCCCAATCCTTGATATCCACACACCACCGTGTCTGAAGTCTGGGGCATGAGTATAAAAGGTAATAGCCAGATTGCTCAAAGGTGACATAAAGGAGGTGGGATAATGTGGGATATAGGAAATGTGCTCCAACGCGTTGGAGCAATAGTGAAAAGGGCTCTAACCCGCCTACCTTCATCCCACCTTTAGCCCGAAACCCTAAACCCTAAGAGCCTCCTGAAACAGGATGCGCAGTTTGTAGGTTAGGAATCTGTGTGTGAGAGCTCCATAGCAAAGGTGACAGACATAGCTGGGTGGTACCTAGGGTGCTCAGGGTCAAACGCTGAGCCCTTTCATCAGAAAACAACACCACCCAATCCTAAACCTCAATCAGGCTCCACCCTTGTCCGTCTAAAGCCACCCAGGCGGAAACGGAGGATGAGGAGGTGTCTGAACGCGGGGCAACGCCCGAGAGGCCCGTGAGCGCGGCCGTGACGTTCGGGGCCCAGTGGCCTAGTTTGAGTTAGTCATGGTACCTCACAAATTGGCCCACTCCAATGATTGAGACCTAAACCCTGAACCCCAAAACCCGGCAAAGCAAAGCTACAGGGATTTATGGTGTAGGTATTAGGAATTCGTGTGTGGGGTCAAGAGGCCAGGATTTACTAAAGTTAGGCGTAGGGTGGAGGCAGTTGGGTTTGAGTGCTAGACAGTTTTAGGGTTAGAGGCTTGGGTTGAGAGATTGCAGTTTCTGGTGTAGGTGATTCAAACTCCAATCAAACACTTAAACCCTAAACTGGAAGGTGAATGCATGAGTGTACTACATGCCCCTGAAATCAAAGACAACATTCCCTCGAACCAACCTTCCTTGGGCCCAACCGACAGGACCCCACTCCAGTGGATTACTGTTGGTGTTGGTGGACACAATCCTGCACGACCCTAAACCCAGTTAATCGCAGTGTCCATTCCATCTTCCACTTTTTTGCGTTTGACGATCATTACGTAGACATATGGGAGGTATGGCTAACATCCCATGTTCCTGTATATCTGCACACTTGCGCGTGTTGCTTTGGCTATCACTGTGGATGACTCTTAGCTCCCTTCTTTCTGATGGAGCTGATGGTCTCGGCTACTGGCATGATGAGGGAGGTGTGTTTAGGGTTTAGGGTGCAGGATTCAAGGTTTAAGGTTTAAGGTTTAGGGTCTAGGGTTTAAGGTTCAGGGTGTAAGGTTTAATCTTTAGGGGGTTTAGGGTTCAAGGTTTAGGGTGTAAGCTTTATTGTTTAGGGTTTAAGGTTCAAGGTTTAGGGTTTAGGGCCCTCCCAAACAGGATCAAACCTAAAGGTCCAAACCTGCGAACTGCGACCTTGAACTAATCTTCCCTAAAGCCCAAACCCATCTGAGCTATAGTCTAAACTCCTTAAAGAGGGCTACAGAAGAGACTATACAGGGGACTACTATACGGGTTATTTAGGAGGATACCGGGAGGTTAGTTTAGACTATCATTCATCTGAGCTCTGTTCCCTAAACCCTAAACCCTAAACCATAAATCCTAAACCCTAAACATC